ACACACGCGAATACATTCTCGCAAATTTTTATCTTCGCAGCTTGTCCGGTAAGCGAAATTGTCACTTGGCTATAAATTCTTTAAGTGTCCCAAGTCGTGAAGCAAGTGCAAATCGAAAACCCGCTTTAGGTTTACGGTTCCCCAGACTGACAACAAATATCCTGATAAAATTTCAGCCGCTGTTTTCTGGCTAGATTTCTATTTGGCACGACGCCAAGTGTGAATTTTGACTTGGCTGTACGCATGAGGCAGATGTGTGCGACAGCTAATTTTGAAAACCGCAGCTCATTCGCTACAAGCAATGTCCCTACAACGTTTTAGTTTTCTATTTTGTTTACTTCCCGAAATCGTTTCCCGCCAAGAAATTTGCATATTTTTCCAGAGGTGTGTAGGTAAGATCCACGCGCGCATAAGCACCGGTTTTAAAAAGGGAGAGTGGCACACGGAATAGGAATGTTTCTTCAAAATTTTATGCCAATATGAAAGTGGGAGAGAAAGTTCATTCGTCTCCGAACAAAAGCAAACAAGCACACACACGCACAACACAAATACACACGCACACACACACACACACGAACACACACACACAGCCTCTCCACAATATGCGTTTTTGCTGGCTGTAGCAGCGCTATAGCGCTAAAAAGCAGCAGTAGCTTGAAATTCGCAGCGAAACGATCCACCTTCCGCAATCCCTTATCGCACAGCGGATTCGAAGTGCTCATGAAGAGACTAACATCAACCATTGATGGCACAATATCCTCCAGTTCAGCAGACGCTTCTCCGGAACTTAGGGCCGGCTCGAGGTCTGCATCAGGCGCATTCCTAACGGATGAAGTTGATCTGGGCGATGGAGCATAGTACTGCTCACAAATTTCCATTGGCTCGTCAACCGGATCCCTCATCACCGCAACGCCACTGGGCCCTGCTTCCTCGCTAACATCGAACGCCTCTGGCTTCTCCTGAAAAAGCGCTCCTCTTCCTTAAGCCTTGGACATTTCACAGAAGTCCCAGGCACTTTTTTCTGCATCTATGCAAATGCAAAAACGCATAATGACAAAGTGCAGCACGTGATCGTACAACTGCCTCAGCTTTTGAAATATAAGAAAAAAGGATGGCTGTAAATGTGCTGGGATCATCCCCTAAAAATTTCAGTCTCCCAGCTTTCTAGGTTCTCGAATTAGCCACTTTCCCGCCAAAAATCTCCAAGGGGTCGTACGTGTGAAATACGCATGCCTGGGAGCTGAATTTGATAAATTTCAGCAGTGTATGAACTGGGAGCACCCCCTAAAAATTTCAGCTTTCCCGGACCCAAGTTAGCGTTTTTCCCGCCAGGAGCCTTCACGGGACCGTACGTGAAAACCACGCATGCCTGGAGGCTGAATTTGAAGCCTTTGTGTTTTATGTGGAGGGGAACATAACTGCAGAGTTTCAACTTTCTAGCTTTTCTGATCCTCCTTTTCTGATCCTGATCATCGAGTTAGCGATTTTCCCGCCAAAACTTTGAAGCGCTCGTGAGCGGGGCCTAGACGTGCGTGAGGGTCAGTACCGCGGTCCTGGGGTGACACTTGGTTGGGGAACCCGCTGGCAAAATTTTAGCGCCGGGGCTTCCTTGAGTGCCGAGTTGAAATACTCGGACAGACGTACACACACAGCACACATACACACACACACGCACATACACACACACACACGCACACACACCGGAGTCGTCACAATATGCGTTTTCGCATTTGCATATAAGCAAAAATGCATAACTAGGAAACTACTGAGCTCGACTCGATGTGGCTCCGCAAAATGCACTCGCTTTTGAGAAAACACACTCGTTTATGAGTTTGGGTGAGTACCCCAGAACCACAAAAGGAAGCAAATACCGGATTTTTCGGTGATATTTTACAGTGCAAGCAAAAGTTTACCAGTTACTATTCGGCAACTAGTTCCATCATAAACTCATACAACAACCTATAATCCGCGTCTCTGTCTCCAGTCCTTCCCCGAAAAAAACACTTTAGCCCTTTTCCGGCCAATATCCCCGCTCCCTCTGCTCTGCTTAAGAATACATCAGCACCTTCTATTCTTCTTTCTCCCCACCCATCTCTAGCACAGCCACTGGCGGGTCCAAGGGGCGGGGAGGGGGAGGGGGGGTGGGGCCAAAGTGTTGGCTCTGTGCAGGGTAAGGTGAGTGTGGATGGCTCTGTGTTTACAAAGCCCACTGCCTTATTCCGGCATCTGAGAGGCCTCATGAGAGCTAACCGGAAGAGAGATCGGCTAGCCAGATCACATGCGGGTGCTTTTGCCCGAGCAGAAGGCAACATTGATGTTAAGCTCAGTAGTCTATGGATCCGCAAGGCAATGGTAAGTGGCCCAAACTTTAGAAATGTCCTCGGGGTACGAGAATGGTGGGGATCTAAGGGCGCTGCTATTATTATCGCATGTCGCCAAAGCCCAGCCAAATCGGGCCGAGCTTCATTGCCCACCCCTCCCCCGGTTCATCCCAAGGAGCTTAGGCATTAGTTGTTTTAGTGTACAAAAGTCTGCTCGGTACCCCCTGTCGCCCTTTCCCTCTAGAAGCCTTGCTAGTCCCAGTCTAGTGTCCATTGGTGAGAGAGCGGGAGGAGGGTGTAGAGGGGTATAGTAGTCGCCCGAGGAGGAGGTAGTTGCGAACGGAGAAGGGAGCCCCCCTCCTTTCCCCTTTATGCACCTAAAAACACACCCCCCCCCCTCTTCATCGTTACGGGGGAATGGCCACGCTACTATTATCATTGCAGGTCGCCAAAACCCAACCAAGCCGAGCCGAGCTTTAGCAATCGTCAAAATTAGTGAAAATCGGGCCATAGGATGGGAGACGATTTGCAATGACTGGGCGAATAATTCAAGGATCGGAGGTCGAAATAGGGGGAATGGGATGTGATCTTTGGCTTTTGTTATATATATATATATCTTTAACGTGGCCTCACGTGCGACACGGACGTACGCTAAAACATATCTTGCGTATACATCTCGATGCAGAGAAAACAAGTATTCTCGCTAATTGAGCGCTGCCCGAGTAGCTTAGCTGGTGAATTGGCAATTTGCCCGATGATGAGATTTCAATTTTTGATATGCGCGAACCGTATGTTACAGCTGAATTTGAAATTTTTAGCTCATAAAAGAAACTGAACTCGAGGGAGTGAAGAGACTCTACTCTTATTCGTTCTAATACTTGTCGTATTTACTGTTTGAACGATAAAGTTTCCTATTACTAGTATAAATGATAATAAGACCTCAAGCATATGCAGGAACTTCACAACCTTATGTTTCTGATCCTGAATATGGTTGGCAATTATGCTTCAAAACTTTCACCCCCCTCGACTTATTTTGTCGAACAGTTGAAGAACCATAAAGGGAGAGAGAGAGAGAGAGAGACAGAAACGTAGTCAGAAAAACCTCCACAATATGCGCTTGTGCATAAATGCCAGAAAATAAAAATAAATCACCAGCGCATTGACTCTCGGTGCGAAGATGCGTTTTTTTTGCATAGTCCTCTGCGGTTTTTGTCGCCTACGACATTATTTTTTCTTGCAGATACCTCTAGCCAAAAGAATTGAGACTGGCCGTCAGGACTGTCGAGAGACATCTCCCCTGAAATTTCAGTTTACCTTTTCTGGTTCCCGAGTCGGCAGCTTACCCGCCAAAAATTCTGAGGGGCCCGTACGTGGGAGTAACATACGTGTGGGCGCCCATTTTGGGGTGGGAACCCATATGTGCATGTAAATTAATTCCCCAATGTTTCAGCCTCACAGCTTTTGTAGGTCTTGAAATGAAAAATCGGTGCAGACGCAAGCACAGCCACACACATACATACACACACAGAGAAAACCCCTCGATAGCATGCGTTTTTGCATACACAGATGCAAATCCAAGCTGGAATGCACCAGGCGGAGCGGTGCGATCATGCGTTTTTGCACTATTTCATGCTCTAGCAAAATCGCAAGGCATTACAACAGCTAGAATTTGTGACATACTGGTCCTCGAAATTCGGAACGCTAATTGTTCAGCTATTTGATGTGCCAGTTGTAGATGCCGACTTCAGTGACACAACAAACG